ATTGTGGTCAGTGCATACTTGTGACGAGCATTGGGCTGACGGGTGAGAACCTTTCCATTCTGTGGGCCATAGCGCAGAGAGTTGCGACCTGGAATGCTGCGGGTTTCGATTGGATCTTAGCAGGCGACTGGAATTCTGACATAGCAGCTCTGAATGCGAGGAGGTGGATTGAGTCTCTTGCTGGGTTGTCTTACACGCCAGCGTCGGCCACGTGCTGCAAGGAGGACGGCAAGTCTACGATCGATTACTTCATCGCGTGTGCAAATCTGTCGTCTAGGCTAGGGGCTGCAGTGGTGGAAGATATGTACGGCACAATACCACCCCCGCATTACCCAGTTAGTATCGACCTCCTGGGCAAAGATAGGCCAGCATGGTGTCTCGTGCCAGACGAGCCAAGGGCTTTCCCTGTTACTCCGCCATGTGGGTGCGCCAGGTTCCCGTACCCGTGGGAGGCAGTGGACCATGTTTTTCTGGAAGTCAAGGAGGTTACAGATTTGGCCCTGCTGTGGGACACAGTCCTGGACGGTATCGATTTCGAGCTGGCAGGGAGGTATGACAAGGTTGACAAGGACGCGGCCCCTTTCGTCGGCAGGTCAGGCCCTCCACGTTTCAAGTGGAAGCTGCTGGCATGGGAACCTCCGCGTCGGCGTACGTACCGCGAGCCCAAGGTCTATGCTTGGGCGACGGCCAAGAGATGGTGTCAGCATCTCAGGTCGGAGCGGGACCGACTAGGCAGGTTTTGTCAGCGGTTACAGTTGGCTTCAGTGGTCTGCCAGCTAACGCCCCTGCAGTACACCAAGGTGTTGCAGGCCTTCTACGAGGTGGACCAATATTGCCGCAGGATCGCCCGCGACAAGAAGACATGTCACTACCTTGACCAGGACACCGTAGACTTCCTGCTGCGGGGCCTGGGCATGATCGGCGATGCTGACTTCGACTCGGGCCTGGACAACATCACGAGGAAGGCCGATGATGTGCTGAAGGCAGCGAGAGGGGCCTCGGAGAAGGCTTGGCGAGGCTGGGCCAAGCAGGCTTTCTTAGGTGGGGCCAGTCGGGCCCATGCAGCCTCCAAGGTGCGCGGCAAGCAGGGGCAGCTCAATTTCGACGTGAACGCGCAGCCGTACCTGCTGGCAAACCACACCCTTGACGTGTGGGAGGGAGTATGGCGGCATCACGACCTTTTGCCCCCAGGGCTGCCGCCAGGCCACGAGAGCTGGCCTGCTCTGCCCGAGCTCGACCACCAGCAAGTGCGGGCTGCCATTCGCAAGTTTTCGACGCGGACGGCAGCTGGGCCGAGCAGAATTTCACCCAGATGCCTGGACGCTCTGTCGGACCAAGCGCTCGAGCGCATGGCCAAGATGTTTATGGTTTTCGAGCAGTGGCTGTCCTGGCCTCCTGAGCGGGTTTACAGTGAAATGGTTCGTTTACCCAAACCTGACGGGGACACACGATTGATTGTTCTATCTCACGCTTTGGTGCGTATCTGGGGCAAGCTCAGGAGACCAGTCTCGGCAGCGTGGCAGGCTGGCTACCAGTGCGACCAGATGTGGGGCACGAGAGCGGGCCACACGTCTACGGACTCGGCGTTTGATCATAATATTCAGCAGGAGGTTGCGCAGTTGTTGGGGGAACAGACATGTACGATCTTGCTTGATATGAGCAAGTGTTACGACATGGTGGACCCACATGCGTTGCTCCGAGAAGGCCAGGCTCTGGGGTTTCCACTACGTCTGCTGTGGCTCCTCATTCAGAGCTACCAACAGCCCCGTCGTATAAGGGCCTTTGGGAGTGTATCCAGAGGGTTTCGGTCCTTCCAGGGGATCCTAGCTGGGTGTACTCACGCTACGTACGTCTTGTACTTGCTTACCTATAGGTCGGTGCAGAGGGTCTCGAAGGTCTCCCCCACGGTGACCCCGAGGACGCTCATGGACGACATTGGGCTCCAACATACCTCCCAGGACCCCACGGAGGCCAAGTACCTTGCGCTGGCGGCGAGGGGTTTCATCCAGGACTCCAAGGGCCTCGGCATGATCTTGAAGGCTTCCAAGTCTGGGGCTGTTGTTGGTTCTCGGAAGTTCTGGAAGGGGGTGCAGCGCCACATGGGCTCCATGAAGATCCCGTACAAAGGCCACATGAGGAACCTTGGTCACGAGCTCACGGGGCCCAAGGTGATTCGAGGCATGGAAAAGAAGCGTCTCAAACAGCTCAGAGAGAGGAAGGCGAGGTTTTCCATGCTGAAGTCTGCTGTCGGCAAGGTCGCGACGGCTCTGTGGCGCACAGGCGCCCTCCCATCAGCGGCGCACGGTGCTGCAGTTGCTGGAGTAAGCGACGTTGCACTTCGAGAGTTGCGTCTTTTCGCCGCCGTCTTGAACGGCGCGCCAGGTAAGTTTAATACTGGTGTGACCGCCTACTTGGTTAGCCACAAGAGCGATTTCTACGATCCTATTTACCGCGCCACTCTAGCCATTGTCATCAAGTTTGCGGAGTGGGTCTGGGACAGGAGAATACCCGACAGTCGCTTACATCGGGCTTGGGAGGCTCTTCGAGATAAGATTGGCACACTGTCTTGGGCAAATACTCGGGGCCCGATCGGGGCCTGTTGGCTGACCTTACGACGTATTGGGTGGAATCTAGTATCTAGTCATATGGTGGCTGATGATGTAGGCAACGTTTTCGATTTGCGAGTTATGTGCCCTGCCGACCTGAAGGTCTTCCTCACTCAGGGGATCCAGCGTTGGCAGGACGAGCGGCTGCTCAAGCATTTTTATACTGCTGAGCCTGGCGAGCAGATATGGCACCGAGGCTTACGTAACTCGGTGAAGAGCATCAAGTGCGTTCGTAGACTCGGGGCCCTCCAAGCGCACTGGTCGGGAAACCTCCCCATCCCTCAGCTCCAAGATGCCCGCCATAAGGTACCAATCAGGCCGTGTGCTGCTTGTGGGGCCCAGTCTCAGGGTATTTGGGGCCACGTGCTCTACGACTGCCCCGAGCTGCTCAAGCAGCGCGAGGACTTCTTGGACATCTCAGAGGACTTGGAGGCAACCAGAGGCATGCTCCTGAAGGGGGGCGAATGGTATGATGGGCGTCTGGCTTGGGACTCCAGTTATCTGGTCTTCGGGGTCCCTGCTCCTCCTGTGGGTATTCCTGGGCTCGACACTATAAGCACGGAAGTTCTTCTTTGGGGCGATACCGACGGGCCTTGGGGCCCCAAGAGCTACACCGACGGCTCGGGCCTCGCATCCAGCGTTCCAGAGACTAGGCGGTGTGGGTATTCATGCATCCAGCTGGACCCCAAGACTCTTTTGCCTGTCCGTGCTGTGTACGGACCCCTGCCCTTCTATGTGCAGACTGTTGGCCGTGCTGAGAGATATGCGATCAAAATGGGTTTGGAATTTCATCCAGATCACGAGCTGTTTGTGTCTGACCTCCTGGGACTGGTTACCGAGGGCAACTCATGGGACCAATCCCTCCAGCATGGCCGAGGCAAGCACGCCAGGATATGGCGAGAGATTTTTCAGGCTGCGCAGCGTCGGGTACTTGAGTACCCTGTTCGTTTTGAGTGGACTCCTGCACACCGTGACATCGACAGTGTGCTGGAGAATCCTGAAGAGGTGGAGAACTGGCTCGGCAATGCCTGGGCTGACTATTTCGCCAAGGCGGGCGCGGCGCACCACATGATCGCCAACACGGTTTCCCAGTCGCTCTCGGAGGCCCTGAAGGTCCATAAGGCCACGTTGCAGTTTGTGTCTTGGGCGTGCTTACGGGTTATCGTCTCGGAGAGCTGGGGCCGAGGTCCCCCACCACCTGTCCAGGATCCTGAGGCTCGTGAGATCCTGGGGCAGCCAGTCGTATTCGGACGGGGTTCTGACCATGAGCTTTGGTGGTGCAAGAGGCTCAACGAGCACAGGTGCAGGAGTTGCGGGAGATCGGCTCGATCGGACTCGACCCTAGCGTGGCTTAGGACGGGGTCGGGAAGGAGATGTGAGCCCTCTAGCCTCCAGAGGGTAGCCTGTGCGGAATGGTTTAAGAATTCGGTGGAGGTCTGGGTCAAAGTGTCGGACCCCCGCGTCGCCCCGTCGCAGGTGATTGTCGCGGAGTTTCTTGGGGAAGGGCCCTCAGAGGCCTCGGAGGGTCCCCTTCCTGGGCCCACGGACCCTCCCCAGGAGCCTGCCGTAGGCGAGGTTTCAAACAGTCCGGGGTCGAACGAGTTCATTGCTGAATTTGCGGCATTGGGCCATGACGTTTTTTGTGTGAATTCAGTCTACTGCTGCCGCAAGTGTGCGGGCACGACGACCCTCGAGACGTCACGGAGCGTTCGGAAGCTCCGTCGTCCCTGTGCTGGGCTCTCAGAGAATCCGAGCACGAGGGCTAATCAGCTGGGGTTGATCGACAGGATCTTCCACGGCCGACCAGGGCGCCCCAACCGCCCCGAGGGCAAGGCGCAGACGTAACGTGTCTCGCCCTCCTGGGAGCGGTTTTGTGGCGTCGGTTTTCCCTGGCCCCCGCCTGCCCTCCCAGTTCATAATATTTCCGCCGCGTTGCGGCCCTCAGGGTCCCATCTGTTCCTGAGGCGTGTTCGGATCGGACGCGCTCTCGGTGGCCCTCACCCTCACCCTCCTCCTCCTCCTCCTCCTCCTCCTCCTCCTCCTCCTCCTCCTCCTCCCCCTCCCCTTCCTCCTCCGACTGCTTCGGGGCGCGGGGAAACAGGAGACACCAGGATCACATCTGCAGCCCGATCCCGCGGCATCAGACGTGTGCGGCCCCTTCCCCAGGCTCAGCTTTCTTCGCCCTCGGTGGGAAAACACGGGGAAAATTAAACGCGGGAAGCGGGGAACATTTAGCACAAAAACATCTCGGCGGCGCGCTTGGGGGAAGAGCAGAGTGGGCCAGCCTTCTCAGCTCTGCGGCGGCCCTCCGGCCTTCTGAGATGCCCTCGCCGTATTCGCAGGGGGGCGCTGGGAGCTTCTCGGGAGGCCGGAGGCCTTCCGACCCGAGCCTCTGAGAACCAGGGCGCCCCCGCGGGCGCGAAGCTCTTCGCGCTCCGCGGTGTGGCGCCGAGTCCTCGCCCTCGTCCCCCGGGGAGGCGGCGCGAGAGAGCGCGAAGTGAATTCGCGCTCTCGCGCAGCGCGTGGCGCGAGAGCGCGAAGCGGGGCGCCCTTGGAGAAAAGCGCCAGGGTACAGTCAGCCCGCATAGTAAGGATGGGCCACCTCCCCCAAGGCAGGGCACCCTTGCATCCTTGCCTCCTCGGCCCATCCTTGGCCACTTTTGCTGGCCGCGCCCCGCTCGAGAAGCTTTGAAATGGCCTTCCAATCGAAGAAGGAAAGAAGCCATGAGCACAAACTTTTGGCGATCCGCGCGGATTGCTTGGATCCAAGAATTCCGCGCGGAGCGCCAAAAGTCTGTGCTGAGGCTCATGGTTGTTGTTCTTCTCCGACTCCGAGGCCCAGGACTTCGCGCCCCGCGCAGCGCTTGAGCGCTTCAGCGCGAAGTGGGGCGCCCTTGGGAGAAGAGCGCCGGAGCGCCGCCGGAGATCGGGGCCCCGATGCGCCCCGCTCGAGGAGCCTCGAGAGGACCTTCCGAGGCCCCTGCGTTGAGTCGGGCGCGCCCCGCTACAGGAGGAATACTCCAACATAGTCGCAACAAAAAAGAGAGTAGCCTGGGGGCGATTGTTCCACTGTTTTGTTTAACATGTGTCCTTACTACTCTCAATGTTCCGCCCAAGATCCGCCTGCTGGAGGGCATGCCCGACCTAACCCTTGCATCCTTACCGCGCATCCTTACGATGCAGTGGAGACCCATGCCAAGTAGCTCCATGCTCGCCCCCAGGGTGCCCTGGGCTCCTTGGGTTTCCCGATAGTTCCTCGATGGAAAGAGCGCGACGTCCCCACACCAGAAGTGCATTGGAGGCCTTGGGGTCTCAGGGACCCCAAGGCCTCCAATTGAGGAGGAGGAGGAGGAGGAGGAGGAGGAGGAGGAGGAGGAGGAGGAGGGGGAGGAGGGGGAGGAGGAGGAGGAGTTGGAGAAGGAGGAGGAGGAAGAGGAGGAGGAGGAGGAGGAGGAGGAGGAGGCCGGCCCCCACTGCACGGGCCACGACGGCACCGCCAGAGACCTCGCGGCCCCGCCGCCCCTCGCCGCTCGTGCCCCTCGCCGCCTGCGGGGCCGTGCGGCCCCGTGGCCCTCCGCCCCGGCCCCAGCCCCGCCCAGACGCCCGCGCGCGTCGTGAAAACGTCCAGACGGCCATTTTTCCGTTTTTTTTGGCCTCCTCCTCCTCCCCCTCTTCCTCGTCCTCCTCAGCCCATTTCAGCGTCACCCCACGTTCCCAGGGCCTGCCTGTTACCGTATCCCCATGCATCACTGCGCACATGACACGAGGGCGGTGAGCACTCGCTTCTTACTCGCACCGTGCCCTCTCCATGGTATCACACTTGTTCTCTATCTCTTCTTATAACTGTCTCAGCCTATTGCAGAACGATCGCTTTCAGGACATATCGTCGTGTCTCCGCTCTAGCGTTCTTCTCCTACAAGGAGCTCGTCGTCGCGCTCATGAATGTGATCCATGTGATGTACACAGTTCTCGTGAATATCATGTCTTCCAGTTCGGCTACCACCACAAGTACGGCAATGCGCACACGGGTGTTACGATTGCACTGTCGGCACGCAGGTTCTCTCGTAACAATTTCGTCGCAATTTCGCATCCAAAACCACATGGGGACAAGGAGGTGCCGTTCGATGCAAAAATCGACATGCTGATTCTACATTCATCTCGGCGTACTTCCCCCCGAACACAGACACCGCTCGCAGCAAGCGTGACTATGCTGGCACACTTCGCTGGCTGGAGGACCTCTACTCATCGATGCCGTCTCGTACTTTACCCATTCTTGGCTTCGATTCGAACGATCACATCGGTCTAGTTCGAACCCCCGCTGGCCATACACCGACAGATGACTCGTGCACTGGACCCTTCAATCGCAGCTTGCAGCAACCTCGCACTCAGCAGTTCATAGACTTTCTGCTCAAGTACGACTTAATTCCTACTAAACATGTTTTACAATACCTGTCCGACTTACTATCATGGCGTCACTGGCAGCACCAGCTATATCGATTTCATCATCGTCCCTCGCAGTTTCTACCTAGCTGGTCACGTTCACAAATGCCAGATTCTCCGTCGCCTCGGAGATCGACTTCAATTGGTTCAAGCTACTAAACGTGTCGATCATCATCCAGTCTATACCCTCGTGTCTCACAATCTTCCATATGATGGCCTTGAATCAGACAATCATGTTCGTTGGGATTTTGACTCACTCGTCCGTTCTTGGTTATTCGGATCCCACAGACAAGAATACTTGCGAGCATTGGACCAATGGGTTTCTGAGAATGCTTCCCATCTGGATGGGCTTCGCGACAACAGTGCTTCCGAACAATGGTCTGCCCTTGTCGAACATGGCCGACTGCCCCTCGCAGCGAAATACTACGGCGTTTCCCGATCACAATCCCCTCAC